TCTCACGAACCGTTGGATGTAGAAAAATTCTGAGCATCGCATAAGAACGAGCGGTCAATTTTATGTAAGAAATGTCTACCCGCTTGACTCTAGGACGAAAATTGACGCCAATATAGCCGAATAACGAAATTTGAAAAAAATCCAAGGGTACCCCCTTTGTTCATTTTTTCCAAATTTTTACAAAAAAAAAAATTTTTTTTTTTGTTTTGATGCATGCATTGGGTCCAGATTATTACAAAAATGTGTATAAGTCTGATCTGCTAACCCTAAATTGCCGGAAAAGAGAAAAAATCGACTCAAGTTTTTCATCCGATATACAGACCTCCAAACGAAAATTTTTCTCACGAACCGTTGGATGTAGAAAAATTCTGAGCATCGCATAAGAACGAGCGGTCAATTTTATGTAAGAAATGTCTACCCGCTTGACTCTAGGACGAAAATTGACGCCAATATAGCCGAATAACGAAATTTGAAAAAAATCCAAGGGTACCCCCTTTGTTCATTTTTTCCAAATTTTTATAAAAAAAAAATTTTTTTTTTGCTTTTGTGCATGCATTGGGTCCAGATTATTACAAAAATGTGTATAAGTCTGATCTGCTAACCCTAAATTGCCGGAAAAGAGAAAAAATCGACTCAAGTTTTTCATCCGATATACAGACCTCCAAACGAAAATTTTTCTCACGAACCGTTGGTTGTAGGAAAAATTCTGAGTATCGCATAAGAACGAGCGGACAATTTTATGTAAGAAATGTCTACCCGCTTGACTCTAGGACGAAAATTGACGCCAATATAGCCGAATAACGAAATTTGAAAAAAATCCAAGGGTACCCCCTTTGTTCATTTTTTCCAAATTTTTAAAAAAAAAAAATTTTTTTTATGCTTTGGTGCATGCATTGGGTCCAGATTATTACAAAAATGTGTATTAGTCTGATCTGCTAACCCAAAATTGCCGGAAAAGAGAAAAAATCGACTCAAGTTTTTCATCCGATATACAGACCTCCAAATGAAATTTTTCTCACGAACCGTTAGTTGCAGGAAAATTCTGAGTATGGCAAAAGAACGAGCGGTCAATTTTATGTAAGAAATGTCTACCCGCTTGACTCTAGGTCGAAAATTGACGCCAATATAGCCGAATAACGAAATTTGAAAAAAATCCAAGGGTACCCCCTTTGTTCATTTTTTCCAAATTTTTATAAAAAAAAAACTACTCCAACTGTCCAGTTGTCTACTGCTTAGTGGTCCTCCTCACCAATTAATAGTTCTTCAAAATGTTTTTTCCATTCCGTCATTATTTCTGCCGGATCGCTAATTAAATTTCCTTCTTTAACTTTCATATAACTACAGTGGCTTTGGTAACTTTTTCCCATCTTTTTAACTTCTTGATAGAACGACCTCACCTCTTTGTTTTAAACTTCTCTTCTATCTCTTTTAATTTCAACTCATTGTGGTTTCTCTTTTTCCTTCTACACAGAGCTTTCAATCTTCCTCGAACAATTCTATGTTCTTGTTTTTTACACTCTCTATTATCTGTTAATATTTGTTGCCTGATCTTTTTCTTTTCGTGTGCTATCGCCTGACACTATTCGTCAAACCAATCTTTGTTTGTACTTCTCTTGGAGTCGCACTTAACTATTTTCTCGCTAGCTTCTCCTACAGATTTAATTTGTTTCCAGGCTTGATGTATCTGTAAATTTTGGTCACATTGTTGTAGAATTTTATTTATTTCTTCTTTATATTTATTTTTTATTTCGACTTCCTTAAGTTTTTCAATATTGTACTTTCTCTTCTTTTTATTGTTTGATTTCTCTTTTTCTTCCAGCCTCCTCCCACATGTGATTTTAACGAGTTATAGTCCGAGTCGATTGCAGCTCCTCTAATACTTCTTACCTTCTGAACGATATTCATATATTTACTTTCAATCATAACATATGATCTATTTGATTCACCGTTCTTTCATCTGGGGAGACCCACGTACCTTTGTATATCTCTATTCGTTTTAGTTGTGTGCTTCTCACCACCATATTTCGTCGACCTTGTCTTCTGACGGTGCATGAATATTAATTATACTCCAATTCCTTTTCTTACTTTTAATTCGTATTGAACACATCCTATCAGAGATAGGATTAAAAGCTGTCACTTTGTCCTTGATGTATTCAGCTACTAAAAAACCAGTTCCAAGCATTATATCTTTACCTCCACTTTAAAAGCACCATATCTTCTATATCAGTTATTTCCGATCCTTATTGTTTTGTCTGTTGAAGAGCCATTAAATCGATTTTATACTTCCTTGCCTCATTCATTAGTTCTTTTAGCGCACCTTTATAAAAGGTTCCTCTAACATTCCATGTATCTAAATGGATCTTGTCATTCTTCGGCTTTACTTTTGTATTACTATCTTGTTTTGTTTCGTTTTCATAGTTCGTAATCCTTTTCTTCGCATTGTTCGTCTGCATTACTTTCCTTTTCATGCCGGTGCCTAGTTTTTTGCTTTGGTCTTTACCACCAACGTTTGGTTCATGCCATCCCAGCGCCATATTTCCTGATCGGAATATATTTTCTTATATCCTACTTTCACTTTTCTAATCTTTTCTTTTCTTTTCTTAGTTCAAACATTATATTATTACAAATAAATATATCACTAAAGTCATGAGGCCCTTTACAAATATCTGGTTAATATGGTGATATTAAATAGGATATTTTCGCACTGTGTTGCCGTATTGGTAGAATAGCAAAGACTGTATGGAATTGAAGGAAGGAAAATGTGTGTTATATTTAACTTGTTTTCGATTTGTTATGGCACGTAAAATAATACACGAATTATTAGAATAATTTATTATAATAACAACATATATATTATATTTCTTTTAACGCCCTCTCTAAATATTGTGATATGACGGGATATACGGGATCATAGTTGATAGAATTCTTTTGCCTAACCAAGTTTTCATATTTCTGCAAAGCTCCAGCAATCAAATCGAGTCTCTCACCTTCGCCTTGATGTTCGTCCAACCACGCCGAAATCTTCGGCAGGGACCAACTCGTATTCTGATGAGGACTGGCTAGCTCGAGGCCAGCAAAAGCAAATAACATTAGCAGAATTGTGCTGTGAGGTATAGAGCTGTCGGGAGTTTGACCTGCTACTATTTCTTCCGGGCTTAAGACTATCACAGATGCCACTGATTTCAGTAGACGATAGGGACGACCTAGGTCGGCCAAATGGGGGCAGATTATTTTTAAAGCGTTCTCTAAATGTTGGAAATCTGCTTGAAGTCGTACGCGCCCCCCTTTGGCTAAAGGTCGCAGCAAAGATACATGTCTGATGAACAGTTGGATAGTCCTTACAGCGATTTCATTACATCTGTAAAATACGTAATAATTAAAAATTGAATATTTTAAAAGTTGTTTCCTTCTGGTGTGAAATCTTTTCGTTATTGTTGTATTAAATATATATTTTTTATCGTACAATTAAGTAGACCCGACCAGAGTCTATTGAGACCGTGCAAGTTCGGAAGAGCGACACCTGGTGTCGTAAATCAGCAAAATTTACTGCGCTTTCATGTTAGATCGAGGTTACCGGATAACTGTTAAGGGCGTAGCCCCAAAAAAGAATAAGAAGAAAAAGCAAGATTAAGGATGTTATTAAAAGGTAAACGTTGTATGTAGTGTAAATACAAATAAATGCATTATTAAATTACAGCATTACTGTTAATATGGATGCAATAATAAAAACTTGATTTGAGAAAGTAAATCACTAAATAACTTTTCAACCAAGCACTAAGTCAAAGGGAAAAGCTTTAGTAGTGGCAAATTATGTTAAGAATGTGGAAGAATTAAAAAAGAAATGGATAAAGCTATGTAATACATAGCTAAACTTAAAGTTACATTAGCATTAAACTTGATTTTTGGTTTAAAGTGAACTCTAAGTGAGTGTTATGAAACTAAAATGCTCACTTAAAAGTGAACTTTTATTTATTATTTATTTCAAACTGACTTTAAAATCGGGCGAAAGAATAATGCATAATTTAGGTTATGTTACTTATGCTTTTTTTATGATATAAATCCACTTTTCTGTTTGTAGTAATTTGTTCTTCGAAGTTGGAAACGAATAAAACTTAAATTGACAATTTGTTGTTGTATTTTTACAATTTATAACACAGAATTTACTAAATCCCATTTTCTTCAGTGACAGAAGGTGTAAATAAACAAACGAATATGAAATATGACAATTGACAATAACAATATGAATTTATGAAATCTATGAAATGTGCAATAAAAAATGCACGATTTCTCCGCTACTGGCGCACGATCGTTTCTCGTATCACATCCAAATACTTGCACGTCGCCAATAGGACTAGGACCAAAACTGAACAGTTTAGTATTTATTGGCAATTTTACTGTATATAATATATACCAGCTATAGAAATTCTTATTTTATATTATATTTTTTGCTTTTATTTATTTTTTAAAAAGCAAAATTTAATTAAAGCAACAGATAACGCTTCCTCCTCCTTATCCCGAGAAGCTTAAGAGATAGCTTCATGCTTAATAGACCATCTTGAGGCGCACTTACCTTTGCGAATCGAAATATAAAGGTGGCTTTAATGTTAAGCAATTACCTTTAAAAGTGTAAATCGTCACTCAAAGTTATAGAACAAAGATTTTTTGTATCTGGACATAGTCAGAAATATAATGGGAGTCAAGTCAACCATCATTGACGAAATACAAAGGAGACAACTGATCTGGTATGGTCATGTGAAAAGAATGGACGACGACAGGCTGCCAAACCAAATTTTAAAATGGACGCCAAGTGAAAGAAGAAAGAGAGGAAGGCCAAAACAATCCTGGCTGGGCGGCATTCAGAAGGCAATGTCGGAAAGAAACCTTCACCCTGGCGAATGGAATGACCGACGTAGCTGGAAACTGGGAACCGGAAGGCGGAGAACGCTATAAAAATCCGGGATATAATAATAATAACATAGTTTTAATATATTATATGCGATCAAGATTTTGGGTTGATTGAAAAGGAGAGAAAACACCATGATCGAATTTTTGATTCCGATGATTGAGTTTCCATTTCAATCGTAAAAAAAAGAATTCAATTCCAGTTAAAGAATGAACTCAGTGGATTTTTAGTAGCAACTCTTGAGGATGTCTCACTGTAGTTATATGAAAGGTAAAGACGGAAATTTAATTAGCGATCCGGCAGAAATAATGACGGAATGGAAAAAACATTTTGAAGAACTATTAATTGGTGAGGAGAACCACGAAGCAGTAGAAAACTGGACAGTTGGAGAAGATGCGATAGTTGAAAGGCAGCCTACAGAGAGGAGGTGGTGACAGTAATACAAGAAATGAAAAAAAAACAGAAGTCCTGGTAAAAATGACATATGCATAGAAATGATCAAGTTTGGTGGAGAACAACTACAGAGAAAAATATATCAGCTACTAGTGCAAGTATGGGAAAATGAAGTAATGCCATCGGAGTGGTATGAGGCCCGCATATGCCCTCTGCATAAAAAAGGAGACAAACTGAAGTGTGACAACTATAGAGGTATAGCCTTATTAGTTACGGTATACAAAATCTTGGCAAGAATATTGAGAAATAAACTAAATTGCTACACGGAAAGAATCCTACATGAGTATCAGGCCGGCTTTACAAAGAACAGATCTACTGTAGACCAAATCTTCTCATTAAAGGAGATACAAACGACTTGTTATGAAGGTAAAGTTGCCCTGCATGTTTTGTTTGTGGATTTTCGACAAGCATGATAGAGTCAAAATGTATCGAGCAGTAGAACATTTAAGTATACCAAAGAAACTAATCCGACTAGTTAAAATGACATTTAATAACTCTACGTGTGAAATTGCTTGGCGGGGTCACATATCAGATCAATTTACGGTTGCAAAAGGCTTGAGACAGGGAGATCCTTTATCCACTACATTATTCAACTTAGTATTAGAAACTGTAATCAGAAATTGTAGCATGAAGGTGGAAGTAACGATCATGAAAAATGTGCACCAGTGCTTGGCATTTGCTGATGATCTAACGATCCTAAATTTAAATCCTTAAATTTGCAGATGATATCGTTCTTATTGCAGACAGCTTTGATCAGGCACAGATAATGCTCCAAGAACTCATACTGCCACAAAAAGAGTTGGTCTTAAAATAAATTTTTCAAAAACACAATTTATGACAAATTTAGTCCACAACAAAAACATCTCAGTAGAAGACAAAGATATTGAGCCAGTTGACTCCTATAAATACTTAGGCCATGAGATCAGAATAAGTCGAGACAACCAAACAATCGAGCTGAAAAGAAGAATAAACCTCGCTTGGGCTGCATTTGGAAGGATGAAGGATATTTTTAGGTCTAAGATTCCAATGTGTCTGAAAAGAAAAGTATTTAATCAATGTATTTTGCCAGTGATGACCTACGGCGCAGAAACCCTAACGCTCACAAGAACAACAGTGAGTAAACTACAAGTTGCGGAAAGAGCAATGGAGAGAATTATGTTAGGGATTTCTCTACGTGATAGAATACCCAATGCTACTATACGCAAAAGATCAGGAGTAGCAGACGTTATTGAAAGGATAACAACACTAAAGTGGAACTGGGCAGGTCATGTAGCAAGATCAGTTGATGACCGGTGGACAAAAAGAATTTTGGAATGGAGACCCCGAATACAAGCTTACAGAAATAGAGGTCGACCCCCAACGAGATGGACAGATGACATAAAAAGAGTGACTACAAATTGGATTCAGATGGCGCAAAATCGGACTAAGTGGAAAAGCATGCGAGAGGCCTATGTTCAGCAGTGAACGTTAGAGGCTAGTTGATGATGATGATGATAACGATCCTAGCAAAAACCGAAAAAGAATTAAGAAGAGTTGTGAAGAAAATCATCGAAGAAGCACAGAAATTCAGATTGGAACTAAATGAAGACAAAACCAAATATATGATCATGGGAGGGACAGAAGGGAAAACAGAAGACTTTAGTGTGAGGTCAGTAAGTGGTAAAAGCTATAGTTTTAATAGGGTGGATAAATTTGAATACCTCGGTGTAGTTTTCAATGAAAATGGAAAAGAGAAATGGGAGCTCGAAGCCAGAATAGCAAAAGGGAATAAAAAATTAGGTGGTTTAAGAGCCCTACTGAACTCAAAATACGTTTCTAGACAAGGTAAACTCAGAATATATAAAACAGTAATTCGACCCACAATAACCTATGCTGGTGAGACATGGACATTAAATTAGAAGGAAGAGGATACTCTGGAAAGATGGGAAAGGAAAATATTGAGACGCATATTCGGAGGACGGAAGACAGAAGATGGTTGGGAGAGAAGAACCAACAATGAATTAATGGCTTTATACAAAGAACCTACCATTATCAAGTTCGTCAAAGCACAAAGAATCAGATGGTTGGGACACGTGGAAAGAATGGCAGCAAACATAATGCCTAAACTAGTAATAACCAGAAAATTAATCGGCCCCAAAAGAAGAGGTAGACCCAGAACGAGGTGGATTAGTAAAGCGGAGGAAGACCTTAAACGAAACTACCTAAGACGAAACAAACTTCATATATTATGTAAACTTTACTAACAAAAACGTTCACAATAAATATTCCAATAAATATAAATAATCAAATTCCATATTCAAATACTACAAAATATTTGTGTATTACTCTGAGCTCATGTAAAGAAGAAAAGAAAATAATTCTGATTGAAATACCTCCCTCGAGAGGGTATATACTTCTTACCCACCCGTCGGCGAGAAACCAGAAACTATCGACAAGGACAGCCTGTACTGACCGAGAGAGAGAGAGAGAGTAAGATTTATCAGAACTTTGAGATTTTTTAAAAGTTTATACCAAATAGCTGCTTTGTGTTACACTATATGTTAAAAATAAAAACAGATTCGGAAAGTAGGTCAAATTCTGTAGTGTCCTACTTAAAAAAAAAAAGTTTATGTTTATTTTAACCTAAAATATTTGAAAAAAAATTGTTTAAACAATTTATTAATTTACAACCAAATAGTTCACTTGAACTTTTTAAGAACTTACATGTAAAAAAAGAATCATCTCAATATCTGCCATAGTTTTTGCGTTATTTGATATAAACTTTTACATTGGAATTTAGCTATGTCCAGAATCGCGAGGAACGGCCTTAAATGTTGTTTTAAGACATTAGCTTGTCCTTAAAAAAAACTGTTACATTTTTTTTCATCATAAAAATTGTATTTTTTAACTTTGACATGATTTAATTACTATTTAACTGGGAATAAGCCACAATTAAAGATAAAAATACGTTTATTGACGTTTCAATTTCCACTTCGGAAATCGTTCTTAAAATACAAAACAAGTAAATATAATACCAAAATACAAAAAAAATACAAATAGGTTTGTATTTTGAGAACGATTTCCGAAGTGGAAATTGAAACTTCAATCAACGTATTTTTATCTTTAATTGTGGCTTATTCCCAGTTAAACAGTAATTAATTTACAATGGCACAAGAAAATAGCTTCAGAACAATATTTGACATGATTTATCACAAAAACTCGACTTTGTGGCTTAGTCACCTTTGCGTCACTCAATTATATATTATTTTGTTCTTAAATAAATTGTTCATATCTGGCCTATACATTACAAAATTTTCACACCACAAGACAAACGATTTTTAAACCGCTAAACACCTGTCAAAATCATACTTACTTGGAAGCTAACACTTCTTTGTTTTTAAAACCATCGAGATAGGTTTGATAGACTCTTGATATAAATTGGTTCAACTCTTTCATGTAGAGGGAGCAGCTACTAGATATTTTATGCGGAGTTTGTACTTTTGTCCAATCTGCTTCTAAGTGCAATGTTACTATTATTGTTTCTATGACGGAATTAATGCTCACTAAAAATAATGATATAGTAAGAGTAATTTGTACAGGAGTAAATCGGCAAAATCATTACATATGTAAGATATAGTTAAGAGAGAGACAGAAGATATATTTCCTCCCTCTTTCTCTCTCGAGAATAAACATGTTCCTTTTGTAAATATATTTAATATTTATTAATATTATTATTATTTTTCCATTCTGTTCAGGTTTGTCTTGAGCCTCGTTAGGCATGTTAAATTATAAATTAAAACTTGTAAATATCTCAAGAAATTTCAAATGTGTACCTACTTATATACACAACAAACAACAATTAAATTTTGTATCTATCAATGTCAGACAAATTGACAATTGTTTTCACGAAACAATATTTTTATTTTGCATTAAATTGCATTTTAATTTGTATTGTATTTTTATATTAATAACAAAATAAACAATGAATTTTCTGTAATTTTTTTTTTTAATTTAAATTCTTTCCTACATGTATGTATGAAAATAAAAAATGTACATTTTCATCAAAATATTGATTCAATCCTTCATTTACGATACTCCTATTCCAGGTGAAATGTTGGTTATACAGGTTGTTTCAAAAAAAGGTATCCGTTTTCAAGATACAGGGCGTTGAAAAAAAAATTACGCATTTTTTACGATTTTCCCGAAACTACTGGCAACATTGTAATTAAATTTTATACGAATATGTTTTGGAAGCTGATATATCCCATTAATTTGTTTTTATATCTGAGTCTCATAGAGAGCGCTAGTTACACGGATCGTACTAAATATTAGTCAATATAACTTTTTTAAGAGTATAATTATTAATCAAAATTTCAAGTAAACTTAACATCATTCAATTTTTCACGAAAAAGGTACTCTTGGTAAAACTCGATACTGTGTACCGTTTTCGAAATATTTTGATTTGAAAATTCTGAAGTAATAATTGATGCTGGTAGTAATGATAAAGTTTTAATAGGTACACCCATGATATAAGGAAACAAGGTATGCTCACTAGGTGGACTCGTTTTTGCACATTTCTGCGCCGACCAAAATCCACCATCTTTTCAATATGTCACATGCGTGTAGGGATGGTGACCTGATCCCGTACCAGTTACTTTGGAACATGTATTTTATTTATACTTGTGGAACTGATCCCTAACACCAATATATTATAATAAACGAGTACGGGTCATGGACGTATAAATAAAAATCTTTATTTATACGTTCATGGTACGGGTACTGTACTCATAATAAGTGTAAGTGAGCATCCACAAAAATACTTGGATCAACCACCTCTACATGCGTGACGTCTGCTTTGTTTACTTTTGCATTTTTTAACCTTACTTTGCAATGTATTGGAATTTAAAAGTAAATGTGTTTTTGTTTTGTTTCGATTTTTTAAAAATTATTTTAGCAAGAGTCTGTTCAGATCATTTTAAATATGAATTAATTGGATTAATGTATAATAATAATTTTATTTTATTTAATTTAACTACGATATTTCATATCAATTTTGTACATATTTGAATTGCCGCCTTCAAAATGGCGGATTTTGGTCGTAAACGCGATTGGCTGTTCAAAATAGATGCGCGTGAGCATACCATGTTTCCTTATATCATGGTACACCTCTATTTTCTCCAAGTGTGTCATGGAAATCTGACATTTATTGATTGTCATGACGATAAATCAACAATAATTAGAGTTTTGAAACCTTGTTATTTGTCAAATCAAATCAAAATGTACTCAAATGTTGAATACACTGACATGTTATTAACCTTAGGCGAACGTTTAGGATGTTCTGGTGCAGATGTGACACGTTATGCAGAAAAGTTTCCTAAAAGAAACTTACCAAGTCAAAAAAACATTTAGAGCTATTTAAACGACGTTGTCGAGAAACTGGGAATGTGAGACCAAATAAAATAAATTCTGGTAGACCAAAAACAACAAGAACAATTAATAAAGAAAATATTATTTTAAATTTACTTGATCAAGATCCAACAGTTAGCGTTAGGAATATAGCAAGAAAAACATACTTCTTCTTCAAGTACTTGGCGGATACTGAAAGAACAGCAATTACATCCTTATCATTACAGACAAGTCCAAGAGCTCTTGCCAGATGATCTGCCGGTTAGAGTGGATTTTTGTGAAACGTTGCAACAAAGGACAGCCCACAATCCAATTTTTTTTAAAATGCATTCTTTTTACGGACGAGGCCACCTTTACGCGACAAAGTATGTTTAACTCCCATAATGCACACTACTGGTATGATGAGAATCCACGGAGTCAAAGAGGTATCACATTACCAACACTCAGTTAAAGTTAATGTTTGGGCAGCAACTTTAGGTAACAAATTAATAGGTTATCATATATTCTACCTGGAAATTTAAATGGTGATATGTATCTTGATTTTTTAAACAATTCCTTATTCGAGATATTATAAGATTTAACGCTAAACGAGCGAAGATCTTTATTTTTTGTGCACGATGGAGCTCCACCCACACTTTGATAGAAGGTGTCGTAATTGGTTGAGTAATTATTTTTCCGAATCGATGGATTGGTAGAGGTGCAGAAGCTCCGATTCATTGGCCTCCTCGGTCATGCGATTTTAACCCTTTGGACAGAGGAAAATTCACGCCAAGAATTGGAAGAAAGGATTCAAACGTCAATTTAATGACATCATAGCTGATCCTCTACCGTTTAGGTTAATGGAATCTTTAGAAAAAAGAATAGACTTGTGTATTCGCGAAAACAGGGGGCATTTTGAACAATTACTGTAATTGAATTTTATTTTATGTTTTTAGTCATTAATTTAATTTTCTTCTTGTGAGTTTTGTTTAATTACTAACTATTTTATACCAGCATCAATTATTACTTCATAATTTTCAAATCAAAATATTCCGAAAAGGGTACACAGTATCGAGTTTTACCAAGAGTACCTTTTTCGTGTAAAATTGAATGATGTTTAAGTGTACTTGAAATTTTGATTAATAATTATACTCTTAAAAAAGTTATATTGACTAATATTTAGTACGATCCGTGTAACTAGCGCCCTCTATAAGAATCAGATATAAAAACAAATTCATGGGATGTATCAGCTTTCAAAACATATTCGTATAAAATTTCATTACAATGTTGCCAGTAGTTGCGGCAAAATCGCAAAAAATGCGTAATTTTTTTCTTCAAAACGGATGGCGTTACAAAAATTTTTTACCAAGCAAACCCCAATTATTTTTCAGTTTTTTACCTACCCTAGGGTTACCTTTTTTTAACTGTATATTGATCAATATGAATACTTACCGGCAAGAGGTTGTATGATGGCTGCCACTAAATTATGTAAGCTTTGCAAGCTCTCATTGATAATATTTTTACATGGATCCGTTAAGCTGTCTTTCATGTTTGATAACATTCGTTGAGTCTGAAGTTGAAAATAATACAAAGAGTTAGCGAGATTTACGTTTTTTTGTTGTCCCATATTAGGCGTACCACCTAAAATATAAATAATGTTTTAAAAATATCGCCGAAGTTGTTCTTTTCACGCAGTCAAATTTATCGCGAAATAAAACAAGGAAAAAAAGAAAAAGACAGTCAAGATTTGATTTCACGTACAATGCGTGTGTGTATCTGCTTATATAGCATTTTTCAGATAAAAAAGCTTGCACGTCATTCAAGATGTACGTCTTCAGAACCCCACAGCGTTGCCAAAACATCAGAATAGTTAGTAAGTGAGGAATTTTTAAAATGTCAACTATTTGTCAAACTATTATATTAACAGTAAATACACTTAGTTTTAAGACTACTGCAACACATTAAAATACATAGGAAAACATTTTAATACAAAATTATATATTCTAAATGTTAAACTTACCTCTTTTAGGGCTTTAATAACAAAAACGTCCCGCCATTATTTCTTTTTCAAAATAATCTATCTTATATGAAAGCTTATTAGCTTTCTACAGACTTTTATTTGTTTTGGCATATCACAATCAAAATACACGACAATAATTAGTTTTTAAAACTATTAATCTAAATTTAAAATGCATTTATAAATACAATTTATTAATATATATTATATTATGATCAAATTGTGTAAGACGTCAAAACATAAACAAAATTTCTACTCTAAAAAAGCGACAACACTTAATACACTTTTACCATCCGCTGAACTGTTAATATTATTTGATATATTTCCATATCAGTTGCGTACAATAATTGTCTAGTATATTTAATTAAAAATATTATTTTGTGGAATGACACTGTGTGGCGACAAGGGGCAATATATAAATTAATGCGAATAATCCCATGCAGAAAGACCATTGAGGTTATTAACGCCATGCTATCCAACAGATGCTTTAAAGTTATATTGGGAGACAAGACTAGTACCCAAAGAAAACTGAATAATGGACTTCCACAAGGATCCGTGCTAGCTCCCATGCTTTTCAGCCTCTACAGCAGACATGCCAGAAACCACATCAAAAAAGTTTGGATACGCAGACGACTGGACGCTTGCCGCAAGTCATAAAGAATTCGAGGTCACTGAACGCATTCTAACACACGATTTAAATGCCCTAGGGAATTATTTCCGCAAATGGAGATTGCAACACAATCCAACTAAGACAGAAGTGTCCTGCTTCCATTTGAACAACAAGATGGCCAACTATCAACCTCAAATCAATTTTGGGGATAGACTCCTTAAATATAATAAACACCCAAAATACTTAGGTGTTACACTTGACAGAACGCTTAACTTTAAAGAGCATCTTACTAAGACTGCTGCAAAACTCCGAACTCGTAACAACATCCTGCAAAAACTCTGCGGCACGACATGGGGCTCCTCAGCACCCACACTTAGATCGACAGCATTAGTACTGGTATACCCCGTAGCGGAATACTGTGCACCAGTATGGATAAACAGTCCACATACTCACCGTGTTGATGTCCAACTCAACCAAGCCATGCGAACTATATCGGGCACAATCAAGGCCACGGCCACCTACTGGTTACCAGCTCTGAGTCATATAGCTCCGCCACCCATCCGCCGGGAACATGCCCTTGTCAGAGAATTTACAAAAATCAATACTGATCCTGAGCTCCGATCTCATGTCGGAACTTCCGTCAGAGACATAAATAGGCTCCGTTCAAGACACCCGCCTCTAAAAACAGCAAAAAGCCTAGTAGATCAAAACTTTAATGTAACTGAACGGTGGAGAGAACAATGGGAGAATAACGCTGCACCAGCTAACTGGAACATGCCATGTATTACAAGCAAACCTAAGGGTTTCAACCAACCGAGACGAATTTGGACCACACTCAATAGAATAAGGACGAACTGTGGCAGATGTTTCGACTCACTTTTAGATGGGGAAAAATACAATCACCAAATTGCGACTGCGGCGCCGAAAGGCAAACAGTAAAACACATGGTAGAGGAATGCCCGATTAGATCCTATAATGGCAACCCTTCAGATTTCCTGGCTGCTACAAAAGAGTCAATCGAATATATTTATAATCTAGATGTTTGTTTGTAGAATAATATTTTTATATTTACTGTTGTTTGTAATTTATATTTATATATTTATATTTTATATGAACCTGTGATGTAGCCATACGCTAAATAAATTTTGTGGAATATTAGACTTCAAGAGTTATTTCATAAAATTAATATTATTAATAATAATTAAATGTTTTTGGTAATTTAATCAATATAATTCTAAAATTTCCAATATACTGATCAATATTTTTCTGATTATTACACCATGTTGACGCCTATGAAAGATCGAGCAGTTCCGTATGGGTTTCGTATTATTTATTAGCTGTGTTAGGAAAATTTGAACTATAAGGTTGATGTTCTGGAAATTTTAAATACAAGTGACGTCACTTTGTCTAAATCGTGACGTGCAAATGTTTTACTTTGAAAAATGGTGTACGTATTTCGCCCTAATAGGTCTCATCAGAACAGCTATTCACAGGCGTGAAATCAAATCTTGACTGTCTTTTTCTTTTTATTCAGATATACTCTGTATGAGTATAAGAAACCAATTCGCTAAGAATTTTTGCTTAGTTTAAGAGATATGTGATGGAATGTAAATTTTAGATTCCCATGTCTCTATTAACATCTTTATCAACGTCATCAAATCTTAGATTGACTTTATCCTTTCATAAATCCCCCCCCCCCCACCAGGAAATAGTAGACCGTTCCGCTTCTTTTGGCATACCCTGTATATTTACCTATAACTTGCGCTGCCTCCGGACCAGTTTCTAGTTGTTGTTCAGTCTTAACAGCAAACATCTTTATGCATTTCGAAACGTTTTTTCCAATCTGCTCACTTAGATTTTCTTCGATTAAGGCCACGCTTAGTTCACTGCAATAAAAAATAAAAGAGTTTTACACCTTTACGGGAGATTTGTGGAGTCAAACAACAGATACTCTGAAACTGATGAATGATACCCGTGCAGCACTAATATTTATGCAAAGGAAAATTGAATCCACTTATTTGAGAAACCCCAATAAGTCATAATTTTACCAAAATCGTTTTTTTCACTAAAATAGACTTTTAAGCTGTAAATACCATGGTCGTATAAACATAGACGGACACAGCAATAAGATACCTTTAACACACAATGTTTTGAAGCTTCGATAGAATGTGATGCTTCCGCAATGAGCATAAGCGTGCTTGAATTTTTACTCGCGGGTAATTATTCAGATTTTAAAAATTGGAAGTAGTAATAATGTATAAAAACACGTTCAAAGAATTTAAAAAAACGAGAGTTTAACTATTAACAAATCACGTCTTTATAGAAAAATTAAAATATAATTTTATTTGCTTTAAAATGAATACAATTAAATATAGTTGAATTCAAGTTAATTTTTAATAGGTATCAAAATAATGCTACAATAAAAAATCTTTATGTTTTCTCCTAAATTTGCTAGCCAAATAGTTCGATCGTCAATATTATTTGGAAACCTACATGAAAAAATAAATGAGTTTTATTCATTTCACTAATTTATTTGTATCCATGAAAAATATTAAATTAAAAAGGTACTAAACAGATCTTTTTTAATCAGATGATTTCTACTTACAATTTAAAAATGTCTACTAATTTCATGAACTCATATCTTATTCAATAATTAATGAACATGAATAAACCCAATGGTACGCCTATTAAAATGTAAACAAACACGCTTCCTCATTTCCTCATCTTAAATAATGTAAATTGTATGTACTTACCAATGAAATGAGAGATCGGGATGTAAATATTTCGATTATTTTATTTCACTTTTCACAAATTACACTCAAAATACAGCCAAAATATCGAAAAACAACTTTTCCTCATCTACTGTAAAAAGTAAACAACCGTTGCCATTTAAAAATAGTTTTCAGTGCTTCTGCATATAAAATAATTGATTGATATCTATTATTCGCTATTATTAAATGATAATGCACACTATGTGTACACTTGATATTTTGATTACAATTAAATATATTAATCTAACCAATAAATTATTATTTTGGTTTGATAGCACCTGTAGAGTATAAAATACGGAGTAATATTTTCAGCGACTCGCGAATAAGAAATTTTAAAACAAAACGTGACAACAGTTGAAGGTGCTAAGAATGTGACCTATTCAAATAATGTTGACTACACAATTTTATGTAAATAACTGAGTCCATCTGTGTTTATAGGTCCATGGTAAATACACATTTTTGTACAGAAACGCCTTCAGTCAGTGCATTCGTAACCTATCTACAGCGGTATGATTTTGCGATATATTAGAAAAACACCATAAGGCCATTACTAAAGGCGTTTCTCCTATGCAGCGCGCATGTCGTTTCAATAATTAAGTTTAACTTTGTGTTGTATATCCATGTAGATAAATAAATGTTTAGTGAATATAAAAACAGTAGTAATAATATTGCGGATTACTTATTTGTAACAACAGAAATTTTAACGGAAATGACGAAGCAAAAAATGGACATCATAGTACTCTCTGAAACCAAAAAGAAAGGCCAAGGAAATGAACAGATTAAAGACAAACACTACATTCATATATAGCCAGGAGTAAAGAAACACGTACACGCTAAATCAGGGGTCTCAATTCTTATAAAAAATTATTAAAGAATTATATAAAAGACTATGCGTACATCTCTGAAAGAATTCTGACAATGACTGTAACATTGTACGGCATCGAAACAATAGTTTTTGGAATCTATGCGCCAACAGACGATTCAAATCAACGAGCTAAAGATTCCTTTTACGAAGAGTTATCAAACATTTGTGATAAAATAAAAAGTCATCAAGAAATAATACTATTAGGAGACCTACATGCCAGAGTTTGTTCTCAAATAGACGATGACGTGGTGGGACGACACGGAGAAATAGTTAAAAATGGTTCAGGGGACAGTTTAATTGAGTTCTGTCAACTTTTTGGTTTAAAAATAATGAATACCCAATTCCAACATAAAGATATTCATAAATACACTTGGGAATGACCTTCACTTCAACAGAAGTCGATCATAGGCTATATAATAATGAGACAGAAATCAAAATTTAAGTGCCAATATGCAGAGTAAAAAGAGGATCTAACTGTGGACGCCTACTTTCTTTTAGCTAATCTTGTGTGCCCCTTTAAACAATACTACAAACAGAACACCGAAAGTGAGAGAAACAATACTACACAGCAAAAAACGGAGAGGTATAAATTGCACCTTTTATTTCAACCAAATATTAAACGTCTTTTTCAATCTAGATTAGAAAAGAAACTAAATGAGATGGAAAGAAATATGGATGTAGAACAAGAATACAACAACCTCAAAACGATAATAAAAAAATTGCTTAAGAAGTATTAGGAGCAGAGAACAACGATGAAAAACACCTCGAACCACTATGGATGACAGAAAACGTAAAAGAAATGATACAAGAAAAAAAAAACAAAATATATAAGAAATGGCGGACAAATAAAACATCTACCAATAGAGCAACATATCAAAGGAAAAACGGAGATGTTGTCTATGTGCTCCAGAGGTAGTACAAATATATAAACAAAATTGAGCGTAGGTTTACACAAAATATACTTTTACACGTTTGGTGCAAAGTTACCCTACTCAGTGCAAAGTAACC